ATCCTCAGTTTGAGTTCAGATACGCCCGAAGGTGCATCCGAATCCCTCAAACCAAGGCTTTGATACCAACTTGTAACAACATAAATTTCCAAAACAATTTTTCATTTTTAAAAACATACTTTTATTCATAAGGTAATATCAAAACATAATGTATCCAATGTTATCATAACAAAACATATCCCAGAATTCAAGACATAAACTCCATGAGTGTGTACGGATCATGCCGGCGCCTTCCCGCGATCCTCGCTAGTACCTGAAACACATAACACAACAACTGTAAGCATAAATGCTTAGTGAGTTCCCCAAAATACCACATACGCACATATGCCACTCAAGGCTATAAGACCTTCCGGTCACTGTGTCTCAGAGGACTTCCGTCCCACAACCCTGGTAGACCTTCCGGCCCTACCCGTAATGACCTTCCGGTCCTTATCATCCTGACCTTCCGGTCCACATCATGATGACCTTCCGGTTCTTATCATTCAACACATACATATCACATAACAGCATACATCACATACATCTCATAGCATATAAGACCTTCCGGTCACACATAGGTACCACTCTAGTTACAGTATAGTGAGAAGACTCAGCTCGTACGAAGTCGGATAAACTCTCGTGCTTGACGTCCCGACCTAGCCTCCTCCTATCATACGAATAACATTCCTGATCAATACCCTCTCATAGCCTCATCTCTAAAGATTGGGTAGAAGGCCATCCTACCCCTCCCTGAACTCTCCTGAATCAGCTTGACCAAAACCCTAAGGTCAACTAAAGTCAACGGTCAAACTTTGACCCGACTCGTCGAGTGCACATGGGTGACTCGGAGAGTCCATGCGGGTCCTTAGAATCCTTCTAGCTTCACTTGGCACGTCGAGTCATCCCTTCACTCGACGAGTTACACCTGTCACGAATCGCGGGGCAACCCCGACTCGACTCGTCGAGTCCACTTATGAACTCGGCGAGTAGCGTCCATGGCAACACTCAAATGACCTTCTGAGGTCAGATCCGCTTCTCTAACCTATAGATCTGCCCTCCCCATTCACAATAATCACGTAAAGGTCCGACCTTTACACTCATGCAACACACATAGGGCTATCTTTGGTGAAATCATCTCTAAAAAGGTAACCTAGGATCATTTCTTCCATGGAACAACATAAAGCAGGTTGGATAAGGCTCTTTGGACCTCTAAAGGTCCAGATCCAGAGTCTAACACTCAAAGGAACACTATATTCATCATTTCAAGCCAATAAAAGGGTATAGAAAACCCTAAATTCAAGGATCTCATATTAAACAGAAGAAGGGATCGATTTACTATCTCAAAGTTGCAGATCCAAGCTGGAAACCCACAGAATAGCAATCCCCTTGACCTCGTCTTGCTGGAAACACCTTCTTCTTTGCAAAATCACACTAATAAGGATCAAAAAGGCTCTCTCTTTTATACCACTCGTTCAAGCTCTCTAGGGTTTCTCTCTCTGGACTGGTAGCCGCAATTGAGGGCTATAAGGACCCTTAAATAGGGCACATGCCCGAAGATTTAGGGTTTCTGTCCACAGCGCGGACTCGTCGTGTCCCTTCATTAATCCAGTCAGCAAATCGCGATCCTACTCGACGAGTCTAGGCGTCAACTCGTCGAGTCCCTCCTCATAGCTCAAAAGAAATACTCAAATTGTCATGCCTGGAAATCGGGATGTTACATAATCATTATACTTTTAATGAAAATTTAAAGTCATTGTCCTACCCGTTCGGCTAACGACCCTCCACCGATCAAGGAAGCGGTGGGTGAGAATGGACACCCATTAAGCTGACATTTTATAGACCGACTTCGTGAATGAGGCCTACTAACGGTAAAACGGCTTGATCTTATACATATATATATATATATATATATATATATATATATATATATATATATATATAAATATTAACCATTAATCTTATAATAGTATAAGGGTTGAATTTTAACTTTTAAAATCCTAAGGGTTGGAATTAAAGTGTGTGTGACTTTACAAATTCCAAAAATTGAGGGCAAGTTTTGAAACTATTCAAAACTTTTCATTTCATAACTTATGAGTTAATGGTTCATAAAAGTGAAGACTCTTCATTTTTATGTAACTTATGTGTTTTAAATGTACATTAAAGAAAGTGACCTTTGGAAATCCATAACTTAAGGACAAGTTATGGATTCCATTAAAACACATAATTGATCAAGAATTAATCATTAAACAATTTAGCAAGTAATTCCTATGATCTAACAATAGCTCATAAGAACATGAATATCATATCAAAATTTCAATAATCATATGAAAACATATAAAACATGGAATTTTGATATAGGCCATTGAAAGTGGATTAGCATAACCATTACACCATCTAAAATAGGTTTTAAAACATCAAAACAGTTTAGGGTAATGTTTCTAGTCCATTTCCAGTAGCAAAAGTCGAAAAACTGCAGTCAGAGCCTCCTACTCGTCGAGTGCAAGAACCTACTTGACGAGTAGGATGAACTTGTGCTTGGACTCGTCGAGTCCCCCCCCCCCCATGGACTCGGCGAGTCCACTGTCCAGACAGCTCAATTTTTCGATTTTTTCACAGTTTGCATCAAGTATTCAAGAAAACAATCCTACGCTCTGATACCACTGATGGGTTTTGAGCATCCTAACACTCCTATGGTGTACATGCAACCCTAGAAACCTTGTATCTATGTTTCACTATGAATACATGCAAATTTGTTTTTCCAAGGTTCATAACCTATCTAGCATGGCATGGGGAACTTTAAACATAAAGGCTAGATGAATTACATACCTTTTCAATAGTGAGTTGATTCCTAGGAGTTTGAGAGCCAATCACCAATAATGTGGATGCCTCAAATGGAAATCACAAATCACCACAAACTTGGAAAAACTATGAGATGTATGCTTGCTTATAGAAATCGGCCACCTTCTTACACACACACAACTAGTGCCATTTTAAGCATCACAAGCTCCTTTATATAGTGTGGATGATTAGGGTTACATCCATGTAAACCCTAATACCCATGACTCTTCCTTTCCAAGGATACATGGGTTAAAAGCTCCATGGACTATCCATGGACTCCCATGCATGCCAAGCCCATTCCAAATGAGTATTAGCCCACACTTATATAAATACAAGATCCCATATTTAATTAGTCACCTTTTTTATCACCAAATTAATTCTAAATTAATTTATGATCAATACTAATTAAATAATATGATTTCATATTAATATATTATAACTTATAATATATTAACAAATCATAAACATACAATTCTCAAAGGTTTAACCATACAAATAGTTCGGGTGAAGTGCAACCCAAATGGACCATGCCGGGTCGGGTCAAGTATATACCAAATAAAGTTATGGACTTAGACACCTTATCCAACAATACCGTGTCCAGCATGGAGGAGGTTCGAACTCCAGACATCCCTGTGAAATTATCTGATAAGGACATACATGTCAACATGGATGCAGGGATGCATAACAATGAATCATCTGTCACTTCTACCATTGAAACTTCCACCATCAAATCATCTACAATCGAAACTTCCACTGTTGAAACTTCAACAGCTTTACCACCAATTTTATCACCCGTTACAACGTCGGTTCCAGTTTTAACCATATCACCAACATATTCTGCTATCATACATGAACCTATTACAACTCTTTTTTCATCTCAATCAACTGAGGATGAGAAAATGGATCATGATGAAGAACCTTATGATGATGATATCATGGTGTCATTTACTGATCTTCAATTTGATCCCGAGGAGGAGAATGTTCCTGATAACTAATCATGTCAGGTAAACAGTTCAAGATCCTTAACTCGAAAATCAATTCTCTTCTTCAGATACAAGTCGATACAGTAGGAAAGAACTTTGTTACTGGCATTGAAATGGAATATTTGATGAAACCTCAAGAAAATCACTTTCGAAACTTGATTGAAGGCAATGAGCAGAAACAAGCAGAAAGGTTAGTGTTTCCTTCTAAGAGCAATGATTATAAGATTCAGAAGCTTCGTGATGTTGCAAAGGAACGTCATGAACTTTTTGTCGAACACGCGACTACAATGAAGGAGTCTCTAGATCTCAAAATTACTGAACTCAAATCCTAGTTGTCGAAAGAAGTATAGAAAATGGAGCAAAACTACACCTTGTTGCATGGTAAAGTCGATGTTATTGTGACTGCTATCACTAAATTGGTTGTGTTTAATTCTGATTATACGAATAAGCTTGAAGCCAAGTCAGAAAAGGATATTTAGGTGTTTGAGAGTATGGAAGAATTTTTGTCAAGTATCAAGGAGTCTATTTCCAAGGTTAATTTTCGAATCAATCGACAGTATCTCAAGAGTCTCTTTCTCAATTGATTTCGAATATTGAGTCCAATATCAAATCCGAGCTTGCTCTAATCCTTGAGTTGGTTCTTCATTTACCAACTAATGTTCCACGTGCAGTTCAAGTGTCATAAGGGGGAGAGAAAGGAATTGGAGGAGTTGGTTCTTCAAAGGATTCGGAGAAAGGAGTTGTAGTTGGGAAAGTAAGTTCGACTCAAATTCCGACTTTACTTCCCATGTATTTGAGCACAACTTCCACAACAACAACAACAAGAGCTTTAACAAAAGGAAATTTCAATAAACGAAGGAGTTGGAGGTTCGAGTTCAAGTTCGATTACTAACAAGTCAACTTTAAATGATGATTCAAGTGATAAAGGAAAAGCTATTTCTGTTGTTCTATCAGAAGAAAAGAAGAAAAAGAAACAAGCCCTTGAAATTGAGAAACAAAATCAGATCAACAAAATTTGGAGGCGAAGAGCAAATGACCTACCTGGCTTGAACAAGGGTGAACCCAACAAGCAGTGGTGTTATGAAACAATTGAAGATATTGTTTCGATTGGATTGAATGGTTACTTTTTGAAAGGTGCCTAAGAAGAACTACAATATTGAAAATTCTTATTTCAATCAACTTGATTTTCTGATCAACCACATGTTTTTTGAAGGTCTATTACAAAACTTCCGTTACGTTGTCTTAAGAGGAAATAATGTTGCTTTTGAGTTCACAATAGCATATTTTCCGTTAATTAACTTAAATGACTTGATCACGGTCACAAAGATTTTGAGTAATGTGGATGTATCGAAGATAACAGAGACCAACAAGGATAATTTCATCATTGGTTTTACTCATATCAAAGTTTTCACAGGCAACTACTATGATTACTTGGCAATCATTGATATTGAGCTTGCAACAACTGTCAAGAAACCTTTGAAAGTCCCTCAATCTTTGCTAAGAGGAAAGCTTAACATCAATGATTTTGAAGATTGTAAGATAATTCATCAACCTCTTGGAGTCGTGTTTCGAGGAAAGAATAGGAATGGGCGAATGACTAAGTTTTTATTTCAAGTGAGTGATCTTGAGATGTATACAAACTCAGAGTATACAAATCTCCTTATTCGGAATGTACTTCTATAGACTCTAAAGCTGATCGCATAATTTCGACTTCTCTCACTAAGGGGGATATTGTAGGGGTCGAAACGTTCATAGTGAGGAGTCGAATTGGTCTAAGTCTGTAAGGAGTCGAAATCCAAATGATTTCGACTCTCTATCTATTTTACAAGGCAATGTTGTATCTAAAGCTTAGATGCTTAGTCCTTGTAATTTTTTGTAAGTCTGTTTTGTATCCTATAAATAGGATAGGTATTAGAGTAGAGTAAGAACTTTTGAGCGTCATTCTATCTTTTGTACTCTCGAACTCTTGTACTCATTTCAGACTTGAATATGATCCAACCAGATTATATTTAGATCTTGTGTTCTTAACAGTTTTCTGAGTATCATTTGTGTTTATAATCAATCCAAACACACTTTAGGAACGGAGTCATTAATGTGATTAAACACATCAAAAGCAATGCAGTGGGTCTTAAACATCTCCCTCCAAGTGTCACAATTCAGTCGCTCAAGATCGAGAAAGATTTGCACAAAGGTTTTGATACTAGTTACACCATAAACCTTGTTAGGAGGCTTCGTGCAGGAGTTGGCTTGGTCGCCCATGGAGACAGGCAGCGGTAAGGTTAGAAGCGAGAAGGAAACAAGAAAGAATCAAGGAGATAGACTTGGGAAGTGCGGATTGTTAGGAGGAGATTAAGAGGATCTCTTATACCATGTAAATGATTATCATTCTCATTGAGCTTTCAAGAGAGGTACAACGCATATATATACATCTACATATGGGCCAAATACAAGATATCAACATCGACTAACAAAGGATAACTAAGATATATACAAGAGTGTGGTATGTAGTCTACTAACAAGTTATTTCATCTAGTCAAATTTGCATTATAAAAGAGGTAAAAAAAAATATAGGTGAAAAGATGTTGAGTTATATTGATGAAGCCACAAAACACTTTTGTCGTCTGAACTGAATGGCTCACAATGTATATTTTTTGGAAAGTTAGTGTACGCATTTTGTTGTGTAAGAGTATTTTTGTTTTAAAAAAATGGAGAAAACCCCAAAATATGATTGTTGGGGAAATAGCGTAAGTCGGATCCAAGTTAAGATATTTAACTTAATAGGAACAAAATTGTCCCATCTACTCAAATATCCATTAGAGAAGAGGTAAAAAAATTTATAGGTGAAAATATGTTGGGTTGATTTGATGGATCCACAAAACACTTTGTCTTCTGTGTTGAATAGCTCACAATGTGTATTTTTTGAAAGTTATCATACACACTTTGTTGTGTAGGAGTTTTTTTATTAAAAAAATGGTGAAACCCCCATAATATGATTGTTGCCAAAATAGCATAAGTCGGGTCTTTCTGTCCAAAAAAAATATTTTACGTTCGGGCAACTTAAGATTTCATCCTTGGAAGATATATAACAAAGACATCGTTTGGTAAGTATTTGCGTGTTAATCCATTATTCTGCATGATTTTCTTGGACTATTATTGAGAATGTTTTTGTAATATAATCTCAACATTGGAATGAGTTTATTTTGTAAAATATATCTAGATTCGTTTGTTTGTGTTACATGTAATATTTAGCGCAACTGATAAGTTTTGTTTGATGTTCAAGAAAAATATGCTTTGTTTGTTTTTAAGGTTCATTGATTGGGCTTAAGTTGTAGGTGTTTCTTTTCAGACAAGATAATAAACAATACGTCAATTAGTGTTGTACACTAATATCAAATCGTTAATAATATACAAAGCAAAACAAACCCACAAATAAAATATTGAGAATTATATGTTGCTTTGTCATAAATAATAAATATGATTATTACTATTTTGTTAGCAAGTTTTGTCCAGAATCAGATCGATAATTCGTAATCAGATCTGATTATAAGAAATATAGAAGAAGACTGTACATTGATCTAGAGTTGTATGCTTTAGGGTTTCAAAGAGATTTAGTTTTACACAATCGAGTTATATGTAATATCTTTTGATTTTGTTTTTTTATGATTCAGTTCGTATTGTTCTCTATGTTCTCTCATTTGCTCATATTTACAGGTTCTAAGTTGTTTTCTTCAATCACGTTTACTAAAACCCTAATATGATTTTCTATGTTCTTGAAACATTAAACTTTCTATTTAATCATGCACGATTCTATATCAACATCGATCTATTTTTTGGTTCACAAATCAATTTCCTTGATTGATTGTTTTTATTTGAAATTCCTAATTTTTTGATCGAAAAATATTGATATGGTTTTTTTCATTCTTGGATCTCGGTATATTATCTAAGGGTATATAATTACTATTCTTTGTTCTGTATAAATCTTGAGTGATCTTCTATTTATCAAATCCATATGTAGGTCTCATGACCTCTTGATAGAAAATCCGAATTTGTCTTCACTTCTGAAATGCTAGTGTTTCTTTTCAGAAGAAGACTGTACATTGATCTAGAGTTGTATGCTTTAGGGTTTCAAAGAGATTTCGTTTTATACAATCGAGTTATATGCAATATCTCTTGATTTTTTATGATTCAGTTCGTATTGTTCTCTATGTTCTCTCATTTGCTCATATTTACAGGTTCTAAGTTGTTTTCTTCAATCACGTTTACTAAAACCCTAATATGATTTTCTATGTTCTTGAAACATTAAACTTTCTATTTAATCATGCACGATTCTATATCAACATCGATCTATTTTTTGGTTCACAAATCAATTTCCTTGATTGATTGTTTTTATTTGAAATTCCTAATTTTTTGATCGAAAAATATTGATATGGTTTTTTTCATTCTTGGATCTCAGTATATTATCTAAGGGTATATACTTACTATTCTTTGTTCTGTATAAATCTTGAGTGATCTTCTATTTATCAAATCCATATGTAGGTCTCATGACCTCTTGATAGAAAATCCGAATTTGTCTTCACTTCTGAAATGCTAGTGTTTCTTTTCAGACAAGATAATAAACAATACGTCAATTAGTGTTGTACACTAATATCAAATCGTTAATAATATACAAAGAAAAACAAACCCACAACTAAAATATTGAGAATTATATGTTGCTTTGTCATAAATAATAAATATGATTATTACTATTTTGTTAGCAAGTTTTGTCCAGAATCAGATCGATAATTCGTAATCAGATCTGATTATAAGAAATATAGAAGAAGACTGTACATTGATCTAGAGTTGTATGCTTTAGGGTTTCAAAGAGATTTCGTTTTATACAATCGAGTTATATGCAATATCTCTTTATTTTTTATGATTCAGTTCGTATTGTTCTCTATGTTCTCTCATTTGCTCATATTTACAAGTTCTAAGTTGTTTTCTTCAATCACGTTTACTAAAACCCTAATATGATTTTCTATGTTCTTGAAACATTAAACTTTCTATTTAATCATGCACGATTCTATATCAACATCGATCTATTTTTTGGTTCACAAATCAATTTCCTTGATTGATTGTTTTTATTTGAAATTCCTAATGTTTTGATCGAAAAATATTGATATGGTTTTTTTCATTCTTGGATCTCGGTATATTATCTAAGGGTATATACTTACTATTCTTTGTTCTGTATAAATCTTGAGTGATCTTCTATTTATCAAATCCATATGTAGGTCTCATGACCTCTTGATAGAAAATCCGAATTTGTCTTCACTTCTGAAATGCTAGTGTTTAGATATTTAGGTTAATATTTTGAACCATATTGTTTGTTAAAATTTGGCCCTTCTAATTGAGCCCATTGGTGTTCTTCATGTATTGTTCCTCTATTTAAAGTCTCTATTGATATAGTTCTCGGTTCGCATAGAGTTATCCGTTCGAACCATATTGACAGTAACCAAAACAAACGAATATCATTAGTAAATACAGGCAAATACAAGCATTACCAAAACAAACAAATACCTGCAATAACCAAAACGTACAAATAGCAACAACAAAACGAACTAGATTCGAACGAACGAAGAAACAACAAAAATCACTAAACATTGATGAATTGTAACCAAAAATTTTTGATTGGCGCTCTACCCTAAACCCCGACGAAAGTGTGTTGCCACCCGTAGCCCCAACGAATTGGTGTCTGTCATCCACAATCAATAAATCAAGACGATTTTGATCAAACAGAACTCTGATACCATATAGAGTGATAATAATCTAGAAAAAATGGCTACAATTTTATTATTAAGTGTAATACTTAATTAAAAAAAACTACCAAAAAAATTATCTACTCTTAATTTAACTAAAAAAGACTAATTAAAAGTTCAACATAAAAAGAACCCAACATATTATGCCAATATTTTTAACCTATTTCTTGTTACGGAAACTTTTTTACATGTTCTATAGTAACATCGAGTCACTTGGCATTATTCATTATATATGACAAACAACTAACAATATCATACAATGACTTTAATTAATCCGAAAATTATTCAGTCAATTTGCCAGTTTATGCTAAAAACAAGAACATAGAATGTTAACAATTCTTTTTTCTCTGTTTTGTTTTTAGAAGATGGTGAGATTTGACTACCACATGAGGGTCCCTGCTAACAAATATATGTCATAAATGAACATAAAGAACACCAATCACAAGCAATGTACATTTCTATTTATTTGTATAATTTTTTTTAATGATTATCAGTTTTTTTCAGTAGAATATATACTATACTTTTGATTAATTTCTGTACCAATAAAACACATTTTTTGTAATCAACTTATAAACATTTATATTAAAAGTTTATTATTTGATTTAAACATAATTACCATTAACAGAAATTGGTTTACTATTACTGGGGCCGTTTGTTTAATATAAATTATGTCGGCATTCAGATAAATAATACTTATTTGAGGTAGCAATTGGTTAATTACAAAAATAACCACTTATTTTGTAAGCGTCAAGTTGTGAAGTGTTTATTCACTACCAAAAAGGACTTTATAAAATAATATATTAAAAAGATCCTTATTTCAAAATTTGGAAAATTTATAAGAGCAATTTTGAAATTTAAATATAGACTTTTAAGAGTTTTTTTAGAGGTGGAGGCGTGGATTACATTTTCGGATTTTTTATTTATTTATTTATTTATTTATTTATTTTTTGGAATCTCACAAATTAATCGCTTACGAAATTCGTGGTGGTTTTGGTGATTAATGATAACTAGTATAAGTCATCTCGCATATGGTGGCAGAAAACTCCATAGCAATTTATATATAGAATGTCATTTTCTAAATGTCAACGGGCTACATATAGAACAATGACGATTATATAATATCAAAGTGACTACAAAATTGTTAAAATAAAGTTTCAATCCAAACAATTATATATGGAGGAGACAGATGAAAATATAGTTTGAAAATAGTATATTTTGTTTGGTACAAGGCTACAACACCACAGTAATTCATATGCTTAAATAAGAAAATTAATAAAAATAAAAACAATAAAAAAAAATTATGTAACAGACCAAAATGTAACTTTAAAATATAATAACGGTTCAAAATCGTAATTTACAAAATAACAATAACTTAACTTTAAAAATAAAGTAAATTACACTGATGGTCCCTATGGTCTGGGATAATTTACAAGCATGGTACCTAACTTACTTTTTTTAACCTGGGTTGTCCCTGTGGTTTGATTTTATTGCATCGTTGGTCCTTAATCAACTTAAATGACCAATATACCAATATTTATTATTTTAATTGCTTTGTTTTTTATTAACTCATTAAAATAAATTATAAAATCAATGGTTTAATAGATGTGGGTCCATCATCAGCCTCAACCAGATCTTCCCTCACCCTCATCCTTCTTCTCCAGCAAGATTGCCGACCTTCACTGACCCTACCTCATTCATCTTACATGCAACTTATCAATGTTCATCTTCCTAAAACAATTCACGAACAATGAAACTAGAAATCAATGAAGCCCATCAACTATAATAAATGAAGATTCGTTTTGTCACATGTCAATCTTTCATGAGTTTTGACACTTGTCATTTTATTATATTTTTGAAATAAATAATATTCACATGTCAATTTTTAGGGTTTTTCAATTTTTAAATTAAAAAGTCACATAATACTTATATATTTATATATATGTAAAGTTTTAAATGTAATAAATGTGATAATAATTGTAATTAATAGTTTTCTTTATTCTTTATTTATTTTAAAATTCTATTTAAAAAAATACTTAATGTTTACATTTTAATATGTAATATTTTGTTTAATCAACCCGTGTAATACACAGTTTTACACCTGCTATCTAATAACAAAAAGAACGCAGATACAATGATTAACAAAAAACATAAACACTATCTATTAACAAAAAACCCAAACCTGGACAATGAAATCAGGGAAAAAAAATCTCAAATCAAAATCTAGGCTTAAGATAAAATCAAACCTGACTTCTAATCCTTGAATCAAAAAAAGAAATCGGGAACAAAGAAGGAATTCTCCGCCGATCAAAATCAGAAAAAAAAATTCAATGCATTAAAATTGCAATGAAATCAAGCCTCTCTCTCTCTCTCTGTCTCTCTACCCAATAGAACCCAACATCAGCAAACCATTGTTCCTCTCGTCATCAAACCTACAACGGACCCCAATGAACTGAAACCCAAAAAGTTAACATATTCAAACATAACCCAATGAGATTTCCAATTTCTTTAAGCAAATTCATACATAACTCATGAAAAAAATGAAGGCTCCTGGAAATCAAAATCTCCCTCTTTCCATCCGTTTTGACTCTTTGTCGTGCAGGTCTATTGTAAATTTGTTCTTGTGTAGATGGGAGATCGGACTCTGGTGGGAGAATGGAGTTCTTCTTGTCGTTGGAGGTCTCCTTGTCGACCTCCATAGATTTTGGTTTCAGGTCCCTCATTGATGCAACAAACCGGTGATGGTGACACTTCGACCATGGTCCCTAGATGCCTCTCGTTCCTGCCTTCAGATCTCACCATTTTTGTAACCTTTAAATCTCTTCAGTAGCCCTCATTGTTGAAACCTCCTATTGCTATTGAGGTTCATCATACCAAAACCATTATCTAGATAGTAAACCCGACGGGAGAGGAGAGAGAAGAGGGATAATTGTTAGGTTGGTAGCGGTGATATGTTTTATATATTAATTAATTAATATTTTAAATATTAAAAAGAATTAAAATATATTAGTAAGGGTAAAGTAGTCATTTTAATTCGAACATGGATCAAACGTGAAATAAAACCAAACTTTAGGGACGGTGCGAGTTTAAAAAAATTTATTAGGGACGAAACGCAAAAATTATCCCAAACCACAAGGACAATTCGTGTAATTTACTCTTAAAATTATTAGAGGTGGCAATCGTGTCGTGTCGTGTCAGGTTCTTGTCGTATCGAAATACTAAACTGTAACGCCCTGTTCCGAATCGCTTTCCTAATTCGGGACTGTGGCTTGAGGATAGGTTATCGTAAGGCTTAGGGCCTTTGAAAGAGAGAGATCTAAACCCATTTAAGTATGGATAATGTAATTGAGGTGATCCGGGAGCTGGGTTGTGTCTTGAAGCCACAGGGTATATCGGTAAAGTGGCAGTTCGAGCTCTTTATGGTTTTGGGCCTTTGGTATGGACCAATTTAGATCATGGGTAAAATGTTCATTTTACCCTAAGGAGGATTATTGGCTTTTGGACTAAGTGTTATTTTGGTAATGATAGCTCGGGGAGTCGAGAGATCAGCAGTTCGGGGATCTGCCAGCTAGCAGCCAGAGGATTATTCGTGTGATTCAGCAGTGCGAGGCGAGTTTCCTTTTGTGTGAACGGGTCTAAGGCACCAATGCGGACCGTATATGTATGCATGTATGATTATATGTTCCAGACTACGGTCCGATGTCGGGGAAATCCCGAGGAATGTTTGTATGCTTGATGTCTTTGTGATTCTTGCATGTGCTTGTTTTGTATGTTTCCAGACTTCGGTCTGATGCCGGGGCAAGCTCGAGGAATGTTTCCGGACTTCGGTCCGATGCCGGGCGGGGCCCGAGGAATGTTTATATGTATGTTTCCGGACTACGGTCCGATTTCGGGCGGTGCCCGAGGAAGGTATGCGTGTTTAGTTATACTTGTTATCTTTGTGATACTCGTATGTGCCTGGTAGGGAAGTGGGTATGGGCGTGGACCCGTATCTCATCACTAGCTGAGTGTGGACGGGGTTCCATATCTCATCATAGCAGAGTAGGGGCGAGGCCCATGATAGGCGATACCTTAGGACTGGAGCATATAGTTATGTGTTAGTGCTTTATGTGCTAACATGATTATATTATATTGTTTGTATGTGTATAGCGGGCGAGGCCCAGAGACAGGCGGGGCCTGGAAGAAACAGATCTGTATACCGAGCGGGGCTCGATGCCAGGCGGGGCCTAATGTCAGAGACTGTCCGATGCCGGGCGGGCCCGATGTAGGGGCAGGGGCCCAGTATATGTGATTATGTGTATGATATGTGGTAGGTTGGGGAACTCACTAAGCTTCGTGCTTACGGTTTTCAGTTTTGGTTTCAGGTACTTCCAGTTGCAGAGAGAAGAGCTCGGGATGACTGCATTGCACACACCATGATGTTTAGCCTGGGATGTTTACTCTAATGCTTTGATACTATGATAATAATGTTTGGAGATGTTTTGACTATGCTTTGATGAAATGATTTGATAACTATGGTTTTATTTATATAATTAAAAATGAAAATTTTGAACTGTATTTTTGGGATGTTTCATAAACGGGTTGAAAGTGCTTGACTCTAACCCCGTCCCGTTTAATTAACGTGTCGTGTCGCGTCAACCCGTTTATTTTTGTGTCGAGTTCGTGTCGGGTTTTGTGTTAGGGGTATACCTTGATATATGTCGTGTCATGTCAGGTTAAAAGATTGAGTATGTTGAAAGAGTTGGAGTTAGGTAGGCGAAAAGAAAAACTAATAGTTTGAAGGTGAAATAGATGAAGTCATAGCAAGTTCAGATGATAATATTGGAAAAGTAGGAATCAATCCAATGCCCTGTATAGTTTGGGAAAGATATGAAAAACTGAAAACGAAGTCTTGATCTAGACGACTAAGTCATTTCAACATTACAAAACGACTCAATCCAAAGGTTTTCTTTTACTTATTGTTTTGGTTTTGTATGTTTCTAGTTTATTTAGAAAAATTCAAAAAACTTGCTTATAAATAAACGGGTGACTTTCGAGTCATATTCAAGTTGAAATTATCCTTCCTAACCTTACCCGTTTAATTTTCGTGTCGTGTCGTGTCGTGTCTGTTGGATTAGTGTCTAAGTCTGTAACCATATTTGGTAAGTACTTGATCCGATTGTGCATGGTCCTTTTGGGTTGCCTTCACCAAAGCAACTTGACTGGAGAAATAATAGAGAAAGTGGTTATTATGATTTATTAATATGTTATAAGAATAATATATTAAAGGAGAAATCATATTTGTTTAATTAATATTGGTCAATAATTAATTAGGAATTAATTTTGTGATCAAGTGTAATTAATTAAACTAGAGGGGCTGAATTGTAATTATGTGATAGTTACAAAATAGGGTAATGATTATCCTTGATATGGGTTGGACGAATTCAAGGGATAAGATATCCTTGAAATAGTCCAAAGGATAAAGGATAAGGGATTTCAAGGCTTATCTTATGATTGCTTGGTGGGCAAGCAACTAGATAAGGATAAGGACTGAAACCCTAATCTCTACACCTATATAAAGACCCCTAAGGCTCATGAATTCGTACATGCCTTCCCAAGGGGTCCTAGGGACGAAATTCTATACCTCTTCCCTCTCTCTATTACCTCTCCATTTGCTCTTGGTGTTTGTGAGCCATTAGAGGTACTACACTTGTGGTACTTGCTTTCAAAGACAAGAAGATTCAAGATTTAAGTTGTTATTACAATATAACAACAAGAGGTATGTATTTCATCTTTCCTTGTGGATTTCGAAATTCCTAGAAGCCTTTTAGGGTTCTTCAAGTGTTCATAATGTTGTATAACTAATAGTGATAACATAGATCCAACTCTAGGGTTGCATGCACACATAGGATTGTTTGTATAAAACCCATCAGTGGTATCAGAGCCTTTGGTTAATTTGTTTTCAATTAGCATTATACAATTGTATGACCTTGACATATTAGGGTTTATTGCCAATAAACCCTAGGAGGCAAGAAATTTCGAGATTAGGGTTTCTATACCCTAATTTGCGAAAATTTGAAAGGGTTTTCAAATCCTTTCCTTAAGCCTCAAGATTTCGAAATCTAGGGTTTGAAAAACCCCATGATTTTCGAAATTAGCCTCCTCCCCTAGATAATATCCTAAATTTTAGGGATTTGGATTATCCTATATCTTGTAATTATCCTTTAATGGTTATATATGGTAATTAAAGATTTTGAATTATCCTATCCCATGATTTTCGAATTTTAGAGGGATTAAAAGGATTAGGATAAATTAATTGTTTAATTGGTAATTATCCTTCATGATTTAGATAATCCCTTATGATTTAATAATTTAAATTAATAGTTTAATGTAATTATTAAATCAAGAGTTTTAATATTTAAAATTTTAATTTAAATAGTATTAAATTTCGAAAATTTTAAAGTGAAACTAAAACCTAATTGTTTTGAAAAGTTTCAAAACTTGCCCTCAAGTTTTGGAATTTAAATTGTTTGATTAAAAGGTTTAATTTTGAAAAAGTCTAAATTCTAAAACCCTAATTTTGAAAAGTTCATATTACACCCTTATGGTTTTATTAAATTAGTTAAGTGTATAACTAAAAGAGAGTTAATAAATCCATAATAATATGGTTTATATTTAATTAAATTAAAAGTGTAATTTATAAAATTAAACCACCTAGTATTTTAAAAGTGTAAAATACACCCTTATACTATATATATAACATTGAAAGTCTAATATTATATATGTATAACTAAAATGCTAGTCTTACCGTTAGTAGGCCTCATTCACAAAGCCGATCTATAAGGGGGGTATAAGGTTATGGCCTATAAAATGGCCGTTTAATGGGTGTCCACTCTCACCCACCGCTTCCTTGATTGGTGGAGGGTCGTTAGCCGAACGGGTAGGATAGGGCAAACCCTTTCCATTAAAAGTATAATGAAGTATAAAGTAACTAAATGTTTTTACAAAATTCCAATCTTAGTTACTTTAGGCAAAAGTGAATTGATGCAATCCCATGAAATTACACTTTGTGCCCTTGCGAAGACGTTAGTGGAGCGCGTGTGGTTAACCGGCACACTAAATGGTTCTAAGCAAAGGTAGCAAAGGATGACTCATTGTTTGTCATAGTTCGGTGGAGCGTGTGTGGTTAACCGGCACATCGAATAGGTGATTGTAACATTGGGGGCACCATGTAAGTTTGCATGGTTATTCACACCCTGTTTTGTGATCCTCGGCATCCCAGTCACAAATCGAGGGGCATATCGAGATTTAAACATGTCATTGAAAAGTTCAATGAATCTCAAAAGATCGAGGAATTTTCAATAGATTTAAAACTAAATTTCTTTTTCGTTTTTCATGGTGGAAATTAGTGAATCGTCATTCACTTACCTTCAAATGTTCTGCAATTTGGGTTACGGCATCCCTCTCCCAAATTGTAGAGTATTGTGTTGGGTCCTAGCCTTAATATCTCATTTGGGTGATTTATTAAGGATTCAATCAATCAACTAACTTGGATTTTTCTCCCGTTTTGTAGATGTCAAAGTATGACAACTATGGTCTTCCCAAATCCCGTGGAACAAGCTTTTCACATGAAGATGATATTCCACGATTCGATCGGAGAACAAGAGATCATGCTTCACTTCCTCCACCTCCTCCTATTATTCTCCCTAACCCACAAGTTCAAAAGATTGAAAAGTTCAAACTC